CTGGCGTTGCTCATACTCGTATAGGTTAAGGCGGATTTCAAGGCTTTCGGCAGAGTAGATAAACTTCGTTAAATCTAGTTGTCTTCCAGACTCTTGGCATTCCTTCAAAAGCTATCGAACAAACTTAAAACAACCTACCCAACCTGCTGCCTTCGTGTTCAAAAGAGTACATGAAACGAAAGGCAACATAATGATGAAGGATGGTTAAGAGACTTGAATAGTGCGCGCAGCGGATAAGAAAGCAGAGGAAAAAGCAAAGAAAGCAACGAAGACAGAAATGTCCATATGCGATGTGTTGTTAATAAATTTATAATTACAACTTGCCACAAATAAAAGGCACACTCTGGCGAAATGAGAGGCAAGTGGCAGGAGTATCGGCAGAAGAAAAAGTTCGGACAGAGTAGAAGAAATCAGTGCAAGTGCTGTTCCACGCTGCTGAAATGATGCCGTTGAAATGAAAACAAGTGAATCGAGTGCAAAAACAACAAACAACAAAGCATGGCAATTGTAAGCAAATTTTTGCTGCTACCAAACCGCCAAACAGGATTTGGCTCCCATCGCGCGAGTCGCGTGGCGCTGCTGTAGCAACTGTGGCAACTGGGTAAACCAACAACAATTTGATTAGGTACCTTCAACGCACTGAAAGCCTTCAGAGAGTCTTGTATCCGTTCGACGCAGCCGCCACGCGTACACACACATACAAACAAACATGCGGCCTGCTGTATGGGTAGACATAAATGCTACGCTGTGTGGTAAGTTGTCGTGCCGGCACTGCCATCAATGCAATATTGTGATAACACATTTTCATCATCAACAGCAGCAGCAACAACAACAAGAACAATAACAACGAAGAGCAGCTCAGCACAAACTATACAGATACATGCGGATATATGTATGTATGTATCAACGGTCCCATCACCATCGGCATCGGTACACCATCATTATCGTCATCAGACGAACAGCCAGCAAATATGTATGTACGTATGTAACATTGTATGGCAGCAGCAAAAGTGGTTGCCTCAGTAACAACAATAGCAAAAACAACAAATTGCTGCAGATACTTAAAAGTACATAAGTGTATGCATAAATGTGTGTGTGTGTGTATGATTGTGTCTTTTTGCACTGATTTTATAAAAGTTATAGTTTTTTTTTCATTTGCTTTTATTTTTATTTTTATTTTTTAACGGTGGCATTGCGCCACTTTGGCCTGAAACGAGAACAAGAAGGCGTTTTTTTGGATCATTTATGCCGCTTTCCCAGGCCTCTTGTGGGTCTACGTAATTACCTATACTCTGCGAATGTATGTAAAAGCTTAGAAAAGACCTGCGCTGCTCAAAATAATCCAGTTTCTACTTCAATGAGAATTAAAAATGCATCACCTTGATTTCCTGTTGATTAAAATTTATAACTGTATTTTCAAAAGCATTACATATCTTAAAGAGTTTTTATTATACATGAAAATCAGAAAATTAGGAGAACAGTCAGCAACTGGCCAACGTAATTTTAATATTGCAGATTCGCTATTGGTCGCCACGAGCGGAACGGAGGAGGGACAAAAGACAAGCAAGTCGAAATTTCAGCAAAATACTTTGCCTAATGGATGGATGGGACCGAGTGTAGAAGTTCACGAACGTGAGGAAAGTTGGTTACTGCTATTCACCAGGGAGTAGACAGAAACGATTATTTTACGTATGATATAAGCAGCTCAAGACATCCGGTCTTAGACCAAGTAGCCTCTTGTTAGCCAAAAAACATCCGTTTTTCACTGCAGTTTTGCTAAAGTTCGGGCTCCAAAACATGCGAATATTCTCCAACGAAATAAGTTAATAAACCGCGAGTACTGGGCTTCACTGCGTTGGATGAACGGCAAGCCATAATCGGCATCAAAATGAAATTTTTCGACATATCGAGACGCATCTAGAAAGTGCCTATGACCGTTGCACCCGTCATGACGTCAAAATTGTGCTTGGGAACTTTAACGCTAGGGTGGTATATCTGTTCAAAAGCTGAGAAAATTCAGACCTCATAGCGAAAAATACCCAAGCGAAATATGCTTATCTGTAGTAGCGGATCTCCAGGTTGATGGTAGACGTGTAACAAAGTTTTAGATTTTCGTGCCTTCCGAGGACCTCACATCGCCTCGGATCACTATCTTGTCGCAGCGAAGATACGCGCCTGCCTTTGTGTATTATAAAAAAACGGCCGTCGACAAACATAAGAAAGCTTCGACGTCGAAAAACTGCAGTCACAACAGACAGCCGAATGGTTTTCCTGGTGTCTACTTTAGCTGCAGCCTTTTCGTGGATCATCCCATGAGGTAGTAGCTTGATCAAACAACTATATCTCATCTCGAACGATTTCTGCAGAATTTCCAAAATCATTTTCGCTTTAACTTGCTAGTGAATAGCTCAACGGCATTTAAGACTATTTTTCATTATAGTGTTTATACGTGTATTAAATAGAAATTTAAGTTAGATCATGGAAACGTGTTTTCCAGGTGAAAACAGAAAACCTAGTACAAGCTTTGCTCGTTGTGCAGTATTAAATATATTGCTTCCTAGTTATCGAAACATATACATAAATTAATTAGAAGAATTCCATTGCATCAGCCACCACAGAAGATTTTATCAGAAAATCGTACTCTTATGACTTTCCTCCTTACCCTTCTACAGTAAGCCTCCCACGAACTGTAATGGCTAATTTCCAGCGCCAAAGAAAAAAATGCAAAGAAATTACGGGTTTATTCTCTCCAGAGAAAATTAGTTAGCAACAGATAAGTAACCGATAAAAATTTATTCCAATCGTGACAACTTCAGGAGCTTACTTCCAAAATGGTTAGTCTTCAAACGCAACTGCAAAAAAAATTAGCAAAAAATTCAGCGGAAATAATTCCCCTTCCAGATAGTTTGCACTCCTCCAGTACAAGCAGATGAAAATATTACTACTGTTGCTCAAAGAGAGATTCAACCGTCAACAAACTGATTGGACCTTATCAGTGTGGCTTTAGACCTAGTAAGTCAACCATTGACCAGATATTCACCATGAGCGAAATCTTGGAAAATAACCCATGAAAAGAGGATTGTCGATTTTAAAGCCGCCTTCGACAGCACGAATATAAGCTGCCTATACGCTGTTATCCCCGAAAAACTTAAACGGATATCTAAATTGACCTTGAGTAACACCAAAAGCTCCTTCAGGATCGGGAAAAACCTCTCCGAGGAGTTCGATACCAAACGGTTTCAGACAAACGACTATTCGATGCTGGAGAAAATAATATGAGCTGCAGAGCTGAATAAAGAAGGTAGAATCTTCTATAAGAGAGTACAACTATTGGCGTACGCCGATGATATTGACATTATTGCCCTCAACAACCGCGCCGCTAGTGCGGCTTTCTCCAGACTCGATAGAGAAGCGAAGCAAATGGGTCTGATAATGAATGAGGGCAAAACGAAATATCTGTCATCAAATAAACATGGCATTCGCGACAAAGCTCTCACCTCACTGTTGACAGTCATGATTTTAAAATCGTAGATAACTTCATCTATTTAGGAACCAGTATTAACACCAACAACAATGTTTGCCTGGAAATCCAACGCAGAATCACTCTTGCCAACAGGTGCTACTTTAGACTGGGTAGGCGATTGGAAAGTAAAATCCTCCCTCGCCGAACGAAAACCAAACTTTACAAGTCCTTCATCGTTCGTCCGTCCGACCATCCTGCTATATGGTACAGAATCACGGACGATGACACCATCTGATGAGTTGGCTATAGGAGTTTTCGAAAAAAATGTTCTGCGTAAGATCTATGGTTCTTTGCGCTTGGCATTGGTGAATATCGCAGACGATGGAACGATGAGCAGTACGAGTTATATGGCGACATTGATTTAGTTCAGTAAATAAAGAAGCAGCGGCTACGCTGGCTAGGTTATGTGGTCCGGATGGATGAAAGCACTCCAGTTTTGAAAGTTTTCGAGAGGAAGATGAAGACCTCCACTCCGTTGAAAGGATCAGATAGAGAAGGACCTGGCTGTACTTGGTATTTCCAATTGAGGCCAAACAGCAACGAGAAGAAACCAATGGCACAATATTGTTAACTCGGCTACAATCGCGTAAGCGGTGTCTAAGCCAGTAAAGTAAATAACTAAGTTATCTCTTATAGAGACACCTAATAACCTGCGTATTGTGATATTTTTAGGTTGAAAAAATCGATTTCCGTGCAAGAAATTGCGTTCTACATTCTTCGGGCTAGATATCGAAAATTAAAAATATATTTACATATGGCGAATTTCTGAATGCTTTAATTGTTGCATATGAGTATTATTTATTTATTTTTTTTATTTTTTTCGTTGCTGGTGTGCCAATTCGTAGCGAACCCCTACAATCCTTCACATACATAAACATATTTGCTCTGATTAAAGATACAAATTTTTATTTTTAAAATTTTTTTGTTTATATTATCTTCCCATCTTTCTCTTATTTGTAAACAAATTAAAACGTTAAAATTAAAGTCTTATAATAAAAGCTAATTTTAATAATCAGTTTGTTTATTCAGCCTTAAAATTATTTTAGTTTAGTGTCTTCCGGTGGTAATTAGTTTGCTTAGTCTACTTAACGGTAATTTATTGTCTTCCATTATAAACTTAGAATAAATTAATTATATTATTTATAGTCATTGTATCTCTCCATGTACATAATTTTAAACTAAGGCACACAAAAAAATCCTCAATTACAACAGCATTTTTCAAACATACAAACACATACAAATATTCTTTAAAAATTTTCAATTTTTTTTTTTTGTGTGAACAAATTGGCAAATTTAACTAATTTGACTAGGTAACTGAGTAAGCTTATTAACGATGTACACATGTATATTTGTGCATACGAGCATGTATAAATTTGCATAAGAAATTCACATTTCACTGGCATTTTATCCCTGATTGTCTTTCCACTATTTACATACCATTATTTCGCGCAGAATCTTTTCACTTTTCTCTTCTCACTCATTGTTCTTGCCACAGCGAAATGTAGTCGAGTATCTCCTCATCGTCGGGCGTGCAGTCTTCCTCGTGTAAATTGAAATTGTCGTAGGGCTCAAATTTCAGCTGCAAATTCGCGTCAATCTGGCTGGCACTGGCATTATTATTCTCACTACTGCCGCGCTGCGCTTCACTTGCGGTGCCATGTCGCAGCGCTGATAACTGTTGCTGTGGCACTGGTGAATGTACAAAAGTGCCCGAATCAAATGACATGCTCGAATTGAAGGATGAAGTAGGTGATGGGCAGCCAATATCGAGCTGTGTCTGTGTTGTTTGTGTTTGCGGCTGCGGTGAAGCGTACGCTTGCAATGCTTCTGCGGTGAGTAGCGCTGCGGTAAATTGTTGCTGATGCTGTTGTTGTTCTTGCTGTTGTTGTTGCTGGAAAGCTGCTTGCAAAGCGCTATTGGCTGTGCTAGCGAAATATAACTGTTCCGCGGCAGCCAGACCATCGGCGCACGGCGCGTTCGGTGTTGGCGAATCAGGCGACAATAAGCTGAGATTACTGCTAGCGCTGCTACTGTTGCTACTGAATGAACTGTTGCTCGAAGTGGTATTATTGTCGCTAGTAGCAGCCATAAGCAAGCCGCTACTGCCTCGCGCGGTGCTGTATTTGCTTTGCACCGCACCAGCGCCGCTGCTGCCATTCAGATCGTCCACCAAATCCTGCAGGCGGCGTATATATTCCACGGCAATACGTAGCGTATCAACTTTGCTAATTTTTTTTTGCGGCCCACGACCGCCACCTTTTAGCAAATCGGTAATGATCGTTTGCGGTATGTGCTGACGCAGGCGCGCAAAACTATTATTCACCTGTTTGACGCGATTTCGCTCACGCGCATTACGGCGCTGCACTGATTGCGTCTGATCCACGCTAAAAGGTCCACCGCCGTTACTAGGCGCACGCGGGGTATATTTGCGCGTCTTAATCTCAGCACCCGCGCAACCAAGCGATAAAGGCATGGTGGGCGCTGGTGCTATATTTTGATATTTAAACATTTTTACTGCGGCGCTGAGTTGTTGTTGCGGATGCGCTGTTGTGTTGTTGTTGTTGTTGTGATTATTACTACTACTTTTACTGTAATACTGCAGTGCTGTGTTTGATTTTGTAAAGATCGCGCTTGACATTTTCACCATCGAAGGGCTTTTGAGTGTTTTGTTTCTATTTACTTCCCTACTTGCTGTTGCACAAGCACTTTAACTAAAATGAAAGTAGTTTTTGGTTTTGTCTTCAACAGTTTCTTTTCACAATTTTTGCGATTGCTAAAATTCTTCAATTGAACTTGATCCTACGACACCTTGCACAAGAATGAGTCCCTTCGTCCTAAACCTTTGCATTTTGTACTACACTTACAGCAGCAGTCGAGCAACTCCTGTGCCGCGTCGTCGCTAAGGTACGAAAATTCAACAACCAATTAGCTGAGCATACGCACTGAGAGCGCGCTGCTTGGTAAGAGAGGCTCAGTGTCTGTGCTAAGCTCACAAGCATTCAACTAACTGTGCTCGGTGGGTTAAACAGGTAAAATGCGAAACCATAACAACGCACCGAGCGCAGCGCTTTGATGGAGATCTGCAACCAAATAAACCAATAGCCGAAACAGCTACGTAATAAGAGCGACTTGTAAGCCGGTAACTGCTCTTAAATATTGGCAAATTATATAAAACGCTCTTTCTCTCATATAAAACACACTGAACCCATGGTGGTAACTCTCACTGTTGAATGTTCAGGGAAGAGCGATCACCACTGATCACACCATTCGTGTCGCGATCACTCGCCTTTACGCTCGTTCGCACTCTCAGTTGTATGAAAACATACTACATAGCTACACATGCACATGTATTAATAGAGATATACTGCTTATCAGTTGTCCAGGTAAATATAATAAAAATGAGTCGATATCACTCTGTCAGTGACATGCATGCCCGTCCTTATGCTACCCTCTTTGAATATAAAAGAACGTGTGCGAGAGCAAGTTCAGTGTTGCTCTGCGACCGTGAACTCGTTTTTCATTGTAATGATGGTAGGAAAATAAACTGTTCCCAATCGGGTTTTATAAAACTCTTTTGAGGTAACGCATAGTTTCACGTGGTAACTTTTGCACTCCTCCTCAGTTAAGTGTCGACTCTCTGGCGATAACGCTCACATCCCTGACTTATTACCTGATGGAGTTTTTTGAGAACTTTCTCTATGTTGAAGTTAAGAAATTTGACTTTGCATTCGTGATTTCAGTACTCGTTGAGAACACATCGCAGCTGGTTCAGAATTAAGTGAAAGAGGATGAATTTTACGTTCATTAATATTACGAGATCTTCAATCTTACGAAGTATTGTCTTTATTTAAGTAACATTAATGTTATTATAAACCGGCATTATAGAATTAATATATTCCTAATTTTGTACTTTCATTCCATTTCGTAGAGGATGTTTGATTCAAGTGATTTTGTTAGCTCGGGATAACTAATACCAACATAATAACTACAAATTTATTTGGTGGGACATATGTATATTTGTGTACCATTCAGTATTTTTTAATATCTCTCTGAATCATGACAAAGGCAGCGAGTTACAACTCAACCCAAACTTCACAGACACTGAGAAGCTCTTGACCTCTAAACACCTGTATATTTTTAAAGAAATGGAGCAGCACCTCTCCATGGTCTTTTCAAACATGAGAATCGTATCCCACCCTCTCTTCCAATCTTAGCTAAGTTAGGAACTATTTCCTCACTTTCTCCTGAACTTCCTAGTACATCTGTAGCAGTCGACTCAATACTACTATATTCTTCGTCTGTGGCTAGCCTAGCCTTATTGAGCATAGAATTGAGCACAGAATTGTAGTGCTCGGTCCAAAGAGGGGTATGATTTTCCGCTGCAAGCAGCTGCTGTTTGTTTGTGGCCTTTGGAATAGAACTATTTTACATACTAGAACTACTCAATCTATCCACAGAAACTAGCCATTTAAACTAGCCTATCAACTCTTCTCCTTTTTTCCTTATAAAATTTTATTCGGAAACTTATTGAATTAACTTTCCTAAGAATCTTCCGAAGGGTACTCAATAACAGTTTAAGTGGAAATTGAAATTTAGGTTGAATTATTCTCAATTTCTTGTTTGCCCCTTCAACTAGCTCCCACAGTTTTGGTATGCATTTTTTTGGCTTGCGGTTGCCATAACTGGCTACCAGTGATGTAAGCCACAATCCAATCAAGCCACCATCTAAAACTATAAGCACTGTTTATATTTCCACTGGAAGTTGCTATAACTTCAACCAGCCATCAGCGAGTCTGTTTTTGACCGATTAATCATCACAAACAGACTTATAGTTTATATTGGGCCACCTTCGAATGGCTGAATGATTTGAACCCGCGTCTTTCAAATGGCAGGACGCAATGCTAGCCATTGACATAACTCAGGAAAAAATCGATAGTAGAAAATTCTAAACATTACCGCCAAGAGCATATAAATCGAGTTTTTTTAGATACGGGACTTTCTATTAAACAATACTTTCTTCGGAGTTGCTCTTTTTGCAGCTGTTTTTTGACTCAGTTTGGTTTGCGCGCTGCGTTTAATATTCGATCGAAATAATCGCCCAGCAGAGTGGATAACGTAAGCAACCATGCATCGGTTGAACTGTGTCCATCCACTATATGGAAGATTTTTCGAAAGAATCTTTGTTTGCAAGCTTAAAAAATATAAATAAAAAATATGAAAGCAAATAGCGCAATTACTGAAGCCGAATGACCATCGAAAGCGAAAAAGATGGCTACCAATCCCGATTTTTTCAATGAAAGTTTGGCTCAGCGATAAAGGTATCATTTGGTTGAAAGGCTATAAACGAGATTGTCGCTTATGAAATGAAAATAATTTAGAGCCATTGTTGAGACACCATTTAAGCTCCCAAAGGTCACTGTTTGATATGCGCTATGGAGCGCATCCTTCTTCAAAAATGAAGCTGGCCATAACGTAAAAGATCCTGAGGAACCCTACAGAGCCGTAATGAATGACGCTTTTCGTGCCTGGATTGGAGGATGTTGATTTGGATGACCTTTGGTTCCAACAAGTCGGTACTATATGCCTTACAGCCAACGAAACGATTAATTTATTGAAGGAAACTTTTCGCGTCGTGGGCCTGTGGCGTGGCCCCCAAGATCGTGCGACTTAAAACCTTTATACTATTTTTTGTGAGGCTTGGTGATATCATTTGCCTACACTCGAGATCATTGACACTATGGAAGAGAATATCCTAAGGGTTATTGCTCTCATACCACCACGGTTTCTAACAAAAGGGGTCGAAAACTGAGCTCCCCCCCGACGAAATTTATATACACGTATGTTTTTTATGTAAAAAATTTTATGGAATTTGCGGTCTGACCAATTTTATTAAATATTAATACATCGAACGCCAACTATTAAGAAAGCACCTGACCAACTTCTAACTCATGTGGGTAGCTAATATTCTACACGTCTCAATAATTAAGTGAATAAGTAGCTTACCTCGCTTTTTTCTTTCTTTTACATATAGTTCTGACACTTATTTGGAATTATTTATTTATTATTTTAATAAGCCCAGACCCGGTCCACTTCAAAGTCAATCGATCGGTAACTTTTGGAGATTTTTTGGAGATTACGGTATTTTTTCAAGCGAACATAAGTGTTTTTATATAGTATAAGATTGAAGCATTAACCTATGTACAATAGATACTGAAATTCGTATGTTTTAGGAAAAAGTAGTGTAAATATTTTTACGCGTTAAATTGATGATTTGGATAAATATTGGAGAATGTCCTCTCAATTAGCTTGATTTGAATTTTCACACATGTCCTTCACAAGAAAACCAAATATTATTGAAAATATACCATCAAATCCTACTCTGCATTATAATATTTTTCCTAAAATTTTTTTCTTTACAAATTAAATTCAAATTAAAATTTTTTTCTAAATACTCATACCCAAAAAGGTCCTTTGACGAAGGCAATTAGACGCATACGTAAGCATGAAGCATAGTTCCGGGCGTGTTTTAACCACGTGCAACGCTTGTCCTTTCCTCAACCCCTCAGCGAGTTTTGGTCAATGAGCGCAATGCCAAAAGCAATTACGAAAAAGTAAGAAAAAATTTAAAAATTTTACACTATAATTAAAAATAAATATATGCATGTAGAGCGCTACACCCTAACTAAGAGCGCAACAACGAGTGCAACTTGTTAATCCACACATGCAACAAGGTAGCGGCAACAAAAATCAAGGGCAACAACAGACGCACACGCCGAACAAGACTCATTAGCGTGAGTTTGTATGTAGTTTATTGGTGACACATTATCGTTGGGACCTAGAAATTTTTTATGCTGATAAAATTTAAATATTAAAAAATTGTTTTTTTTTTTTTTTGAATTCATGCAACAACAATGCATATGATTTAATATTTTTTACTCATTTGGCGGCACGCCAGCCAAACAAGTCCTGGTGGCTGCGGTACTACGCAAGTGTTTAGTTGCCACATTTTACTTTAGTGGTAGATTTTTGTAAATATTTTAATTAAATGCAAGACCCCTTAAGATATGCTCATGGGCGAGAGCAAAAAATAAAAAAAAAAATAAAAATATACTAAAAATGAAGCAAAACAAAAAATTCTTGCTTGTTTTTATTTGTATTTTTATTTTCTTATTTTTTTTTTAGTGTCCGCCACCGGCCATGCAACAGTTCCGCTCTCCTCGCTTTTGCTGCTGTTTTTGTTGTTGTTCTCTTTGGCATGCTCTTGGCACAACGGCGCGTGGCAGGTGTATTTACGAGTTACGTGCTCGTCAAGTTGTAGGCACCATTTTTTAGGGTGAAAGAAAAAAAAAACAAATAAAATATTATGCAAACTCACATCCACATGTACATAGTATGTACTTATGTTACGCATGTATGTATGTATTCAATGATAGTTGATGACTTTGCGCTAGGGGATGAATTTTAATGGAGCCTCCATTAAAATCTTAGCAAGAGGGTCGCAAGAAAATATTGCTTTTACAGCAAACTCTGAAATTTTTTCATTAAGTTTAAGGTTTAAAGTCATGTTTGTGACAGTTACTGAAGGCTAAAATTTATTATAAATTCAAAAACAAAAACAAAAATAAATAAACTTCTGAGCAGAGCTTCCAAATATTTGCACCCTTAAGTTGACGCGTCTCTAGTTAAACGGAAATTTTACCAACACACATATACACTTGCATCTTTTCCCCTACAAAACAAAATCTCTCCGGTCATTGAATCCCAGCTTAATTCCCAGCTGTTGATAACAATC